GAGACACCTAATTTTACCACAAAAACTGCATTAAAAATGTGCTGGAAAAACTCGGCTTATACAAAAGTATATACAGTAACTATTAACGTTATGTAACTTTTTTTTTTTCAAAATTAGCTGACCTTATATTAATTTTACTAATAAATCAAGACTGTAACTTCTTTAAGTTACTATAAGATTTTGCTGAGAATTTTTGTAGCACATTTTAGGTACTTAAATTTTTTTCTTGAAAGTATTAATTCTTCATAAATTTTATCGTTTGTATATTTTTGAAACATATTTAAACGTTACTCAGCAAATAAGTGACATTGGATTTTGAATCAGTCATAGACATCTATTCTTAAATCTCATGGCTTATGTTTCAAGCCATAAGCATGCTTTTTAGCGTCTTAATTTTTCAGTAGAAGAGCTAGATTTTTGTTGCACCATTTTCCCATTTAATGGCACTTTGTACTCCCGTTTGACCCCCAGATGCATGGCTAGTGGGCTGTCTGCTTTATTTGACAGCAAAATGTATTGTGTACGTTTGTGTGTGACTTTGTCTTGGTGGTCGTTTGGTGGGATCACATTCCTTAATGTAGTGCATGCTGTCTTGAAGTAATCTTGAAATCTCTTGTCTAGCCATTTTAAAACCATCTTGCTTGTTTCCCTTTCATCACTGTTTCTTTTCTCACCCTTCACAAGCTGACTGAATCTTCTGATGAGGTAACAAAATAGCCTTTGTCCCTCATAGTGCCTGTTCTTGCACATCCCTCTAATGCCATCAAATCATTAAGACTAACGACCTCTCTACTGGTCTGCAGTTGGTATTCCTGTCCTGCAGGTATTTAGCATAACATAATTCCATGTTTCTATTACCAAAATGGTTGGTTGCTTGGGTGGTTGTCTTTTCCCACACACTGATGGTGTTGACTTAAAGATGTAGAGTGATTCCAGTTTACAATGAAGGATCTCATGAAATATGCCTTTTTTGAAACGGGGACCTTTGCTACATGGATTTCTACCACTTTGGGACCCCATTAGCTGCCCAGCAAACTAAACTTAATTCCTTAATTCTAATTTGACAAATGAAAATCTTAAAAATAATTGACAGAATGAGGCGAAATTAAAAATCTTTCCCCATTCTGGAGAGAAGCAGCTTATAACTGGACTGAGAGCATCCGTCTTGGGCCTGAGTCGCAGCTACATTGTACTGTCCCTCTCCATCAGTTATCCGAGCACAACCCTCCCTTCTCAGAGCAGATCATTCCCTGGCAGTCCTTATCTGTTCTGTCTGAAGCCGCAACTTATTGATCATCTCTGGCCACTCATACAATCAGAGTTTCCAGCTGATTGCGTTTTCTCTGTGTTTTTTTGAGTAATCATAACATTATTGAGTAATGTGGAACATTTTGATGTGTATTATCATGTTTAGTCATTTGTCTTTCAAAAATATCTAAGTTTTGTGTTTGATTCCCCTTTGAATTTATTTAGCATTTTTTGTGTGTTTGTTTCTCTTTCAGGCTGCAGCCCTGGTGCCAGCAGAGGAGGAGGTGAAGAGAATGGGCACCCCAGAAGAGCGAAGGCAGAACTCCGCCTCCGACTTCCCACCCCCTGCTGGCCGAGAGCTTATTTTGCGCGCCACTGTGCCCCGCCCTGCCCCTTACTCCAAAGCCCTGCCCCAGCGCATGTACAGTGTCCTCACCAAAGACGACTTTAGACTTGCAGGTGCCTTCTCATCTGATACTTCCTTCTTCTAAGTTTTGTAGTGTTACCTCTTCTGTGGCTTCTGAGACAGCACGGTCTCCTTCTGTGGAAGGCAGGGGCATGCTCCTCAGAAGCTGAGAGGGCACTGTCCAGCCCACGAACCAGGAATCAGACTAGCATCTGAAAGACTTCCCAGCACCAAGCTTGGGGTCTTTTGTAATTTGATTGTGGGTATAGGGTGTGG